TTACCATTTCATCCAAATAGTATCTGTCATATTATATAATTTTCTGTTTTACGCTAATTTTATTTTCTACCAATTAACTTTTATTTTTGTATAGAGGCGTGTACATTCACATGTGTCATTTTATTTTATATAATTATAATTATATGAAAATATTATGTACTTTTTTGAATCGGTTACATCCGTATTAGTTCTTTTGTTCCTTTTTAGCAGGTTCAAATGACCAAACAAAAAACAGAAAGGTCAAAATGGTCAAATTAACAAAAAAAATGTCAAAATTGACAATTTTTCAAAAAATAATTATATGTAACGTTATAAGACTTTCATATCATTTATAAAGTTCTTCTTTGTTCTTTTTCAACTCATCCAAATAACAACAAAGACCAAAAATGAACAAATATACCAAATTGACCAAAAAGTCAAAAAGGTCATTTATTGTATTTTTACTTAACCAACTACCATTTCTGTTATGATTCTTTAGAAAATGAGTCCTATTAGATGCAAAAAAAAAGGGTACACAAGTAGGATGCTATTAGATAATTAGTAACAACTTTTCAGTAACATTTTTTCCATGTACAGAAACTTAAAAAGGTAAGATAAGTAGGATGTTATTAGATGTAAGAACAACATTAGAAGAATTACATTGATAATTACTAAAATTTATTCTCTGTACCAAAAAATGTTACTAAAAGAATTAAGAAAAGTAGGATGCTTTTACAAAATTAGGATGTTATTAGATGGAAAAACAACATTGGAAACATTTCATTGATAATTATGATCATTTATTTATTCCTTATACCCAAAAATGATACTAAAAAAACTAAGAAAAGCAGGACGCTATTAGAAAAGTAGGATGCTATTTGACACAAAAAAAAACATTGAGAAATTCTATATATTTACTACTGGGATCATTTCTGTAAATTTAGTTAGCCAAGGACATCATTGGTTTCATCTTTTCTTGTACCAAAACTAAAAAAATAACAAAAGTAAGATGTTATTACATGCAAAGACAACAAGCAAAACTGGTCAAAATGACCAAATTTACCAAAATGGTAAAAAATGGTATTTTTCACTAAAAATAACTTTGACTTTATGCTTTGAATAACTCCATAAAGTACTTTGCAGTTTAATGTATTTATACCATGAATCAGCCAAATACGATAAATACAAATATACTTTTACACACAAAATCAAATAACAATGGTCTTTTTTATGACAGTTACCAACTTTTCCAATTCCAAAAATGAAAATAAAAATTAAGTTGCTTTTAGATGCAAAAACAACATTGGAATAATTAATACTTGGAGTGAATGGTTGATTTCGGTAAGTTTCTCATATATGCATATGCAATGTACACCAGGAAGACAATGTGAATGGTTGATTTCAGTAAGTTTCTCATATATGCATATGCAATGTACACCAGGAAGACAATAATGGTTGCAATCTTGAAAGTGTAATGGTGATCTTCTTTCTTTTTCTATGTAATGATGTTTTCTGTAGATTGAAGGGTTCCCAACTTTCCTAAAGTTTGTCAATCTTGTAATGTTTAGATATGAAACTCACGTTTTCATTCCTCTTAAAACCTTCTCCAATACCTTTATTTTATCAGGATATGCTGTTAGATACCGTGTGTTCTTAATAGGCTCCACATCATTGTCACATTGACCTCCTGAATTACTCTGCCTTCCTCTACCAAAGTATACAAATCACCAAATTTTCATATCGATTTTCATGATTTTCACGAGATTTGAAACTGGGATTGTTTTTTAGACAACTAGTGTTCACTTATGGACAATTATATGTTGCATTGTTCAGAGTTAAAGGCATATATGGATTAAAAATATTATTTTTAGACAATGACGGTAAACTTAGTAATAAGACATCTAATGTTATATTCAAAGAAGTATTTGGAAATTTGTGATTCATAACAATTATTTACAATATGGCAATTGTTATTTTTTATTAGTATAGATTCAATTACCTATTTATTCATCATTTCGTTTGTATTTATTTCGAATGTTACTTTAAAAAATGTTTAATATTTACATCTTGATTTTCAGCACAATTATTTAAAATATACCAATAGTTTAATTATTAGTATAGATTTAATTACTTATTTATTCATCATTTCGTTTGTATTTATGTAAAAGTATTACTTTAAAAAAATGTTTAATGTTACACCTTGATATATTACGTTTTTTTTAATAAACCCGTGTAATATACGGGTCTCACACCTAGTTAATTATAAACAAAAACACAAATTTTACACAAACTCATAAGCTTGTTTCATGATAGCCAAAAAAAATTTAGATCCAACAATTAAAAAAGAATTCTTCCACCTTATTTTTTATCTTTTATTTACCAAAAAATGCCACGAACAAAACAATTTTTCTTATATTCGTTACACAAATGTTAAGTCTACGAAAAAAAATCTTAGAAAAAAATACATGTGAAAATAACAAGAAAATTGAAGGTTGCGTTTAGTTACGGAAAAACAGTTTTCATTTTCCATTTTTCGTTTTCCCTTTCCAGTTTTCGTTTTCTGTTTTCACTTTTCATTGAAAAATTTGGAAAATGCGTTTAATTAAAAATTATTTATTTTTCATTTCCAGTTTTAGAAAATTAGAAAACGTGTTTAGATGTGTATTTTTCTATCGGTTTTCAATTTTAGAAAACGGTAGCGATGGTAGGGTGGGGGCGGCGGCGGTGGTGTTGATGACAGGCGGTGGTGGTGGCGGCGACAATTGTGGCAGTGATGGTGACGACGGTGGTGATGGTGATGGTGATGGCAGGTCGATGATTGTGGTAGTGGTGTTGGGTGGGTGGGTGTGTTTATGTGTGTTTGTGGGGGTGGGGTGGGTGTGTGTTTGTGGGTGTGTATGTGTGTTTGTGGGGGGTGGGGGTGGGTGTGTGTGTGTATGTGTGTGTGTGTGGGGGGGGGGGGAGGGGTTATCGGTTTTCCAAAAATTTCAAACTTCATTGTAATTTTAGAAAACGGAAAATTTTCATTTTCCATGAAAAATTTAGAAAAATAGACGAACTAAACGCGTTTTCAAAATTCTCATTTTTATTGTAAAATATTTCCGAAAAACGGCCAATTTTTTCACAACTAAATACAACCTAAATTTTTTGGTATTTACCCACACCTTCATGAAAATATCTTTCTTAGGAAAGATCGCGAAAATACCCAAAAATTTCATTTTTTTTTTAAGTTCCGCATGTGTTTAAATTTAATTGTCTTAGATCTAAGATGTTTTTTCCTTAGACTTAACATTTGCACAACAAAGACAAAAAAAATTCCCTTTTTTACAATAAATCTTTGTAAATACCAATAATAATAACAATAATAATAATAATATGATTTTCTTCTTTTTCTTTCGTATGTATCTATCCTAGATCCAAGATGATTTTGTTGTAGATCTAAGTATCTAACATTTACATATAAATATTATGAAAACACAACTTATTCTAGTGAAAATGAAATTTTATTTTATTCGTTTTGAAAATGGTTTAATAAAATTTTAAGTTGGACTTTTTGTAAAATGAAGTTAAAATATAAAAAGATTAGGGGTGGGTTTGGTTGTGGAAAATTTTTCAGCTTTCTAGGAAAATTTTCCAAGAAAAATGGAAACTTTGAAAACGCGTTTGGTTCGTTCAATTTTCCAAAGTTTTCTAAGAAAATGAAAATTTTCAGTTTTCCAAATTGTATGTAAGTTAGAAAAGCGAGTTTTACAGTTTTCCAAAGCTTTCCAAATTTCTAAGGTGGAAAATGAAAACTTCACCGCTCCCAACCAAACGCGTTTTTAAAATTTTCATTGAAAACTAAAAATGAAAACTCAACTTTATTTTCTGAAAACATTTTCTAAGAAAATGAAAACAGTTTTCCACAACCAAACGCATCCTAGGTTTTTACGAAAAGGTTGTGTGCCTTTTTATTTTGAATTTTACAAACCATATAGATAAATTAGGTAGACTGGTTGATAGCTTTTCTTATCATACAAATTTAGACAAACCATATAGACCAGTGGTGAGTTTTGTTTATCTCCTATTAGGAAGCCTTTCTCATTTAGAAATTAAAAGGGAACAAATTTAAAATCTAAAAGTATTTCTCATTTTAGAAATTAAAAGGTAACAAAATCTAAAAACTAATGAAATAGAAGAATCCAAAGGGGGGAGGAGAAAGATATTTGTTGTCCCTGAAAATCAAAAGTATGTTATTCTCGTCGGACCCACTGACCCTGATAGGTGTGCCCAACTCGTGTTACATGTTCAGAAAACTACCCATTATTATAATATTAATTAATATTATCAAAAACAAAATCATTAAAGATCGTAAATAAGTGTTTATATCGTATAATGGACTTTATTATATTACTTTTTCTATAACACGAAACGTGAGCAACCTATTCTATAAATAAAGAAAGAAAAATATTTCATATGTTTAAAGAATTTAAAATAAAAACATAAAACACCTCATCTAAACGGCACATATTGCACTCGTCCTAGTTTTGGATGTCTGATATTCTAATGTTAAACTTTCTATATAGAATTTCACATCTCGACCGTTCGACTTTTATCTTATCCTGTATATAATTATTTATGAGTTTGGTAGTAAAAAAAAACTATTCATAAAACAGTTTTGTAAAGTCCATTCAACGAAACAAGTGGTTCTTTTTATGATAAATGATCTAATCATTTCATAACATAGCACCATCAGTTTTAGTATTTTAGTGGTTAACCTTGTTAAATAATAAGAGATACATAATTTAAGTTAAACGCGTTGCGGGGATTAGATGAGTGTTGGACGCTTTCGCAGTATTTCATAGAAACGATAGAAAACTAACAACCTATATGAAGTCAACAGAAGTAACAAATTAGAAGGAAACAACTGAAAAAGAACCTCAATTGAAGCTAATGCAATAGTTTCTTTATGAGTGGAAACTCAATAAAACCCAAGAATCAAATTCCATTAACAAATTGAAAACCCAAATCCGAATTAACATCGCTACACATTCCAAGGTAATAATGTGTATTCACTGTTTTAATCTAAAGTCGATTTCGTGAACACATCCGCTGCAATTGTTTTTCCAAATCTAGTAAAATTACCTAAGAAGACATTTGCTACAATTGTCGACATCAGGTAGCAAAATACTATCTTCATCATAATACACGAACCAAAATAAGCAGCTCCATGGAAACAAAGAAAAAAAAACCTCATATAAATGAGAAAAATCTATATCTATATTGTCTAATAAAGCAGGCGGTGGGAACGCAAGGTGGAGATGCCAACAGAAAAATGGGCGAACAATCATCAGATGGTTGCGGTGAGTAATCCGATGCTCTCATTAATTTCTGCAAACGAAACAAAAAGAGGCAGAACTTTCAATGAAAGTAACAACATGCTACAATAAACAAACAGACGAAGTAGATTGGTAAATATGACAGAGTTTTATCTCAATGACCAACATGAAGGAACTCTAAAATACATGGAATCGAATTACAAAGCTGGAAATAGTTGCGAAGGAAAAAAGTTACAGAACAGGGGCATTTTCGGAATTACACTTACAAATGCTGAAAATAGAAGTGTATTAGGTAAATTTTATGTATTTGTGTTACATTAACAGAAATGGCAACTTACTTTCATTTATTTGTTTATTATAGCAATATACTTTTAATTCCTTCTATTATAGAATTGTAATTCCAATTAGGTAATTCTTTAAAGATGACAGTTTTGCCCCTGCCTGTTCGTCAAATAATGAGCTTCGTTGTGATAAAGCAAAAGATGTAGACAACAATGATAATCACTTGGTGATGACTGATTAAGAAATGATGCTTACCGAATTCTTAATTAACAATCAGACAATTAAGCATCCTTTCATGTTTGTTTAATTCTTAATCAGTTTCAACTCAATTTTTTTTGTCTTTTGGTGATTCTAATCAATTTATATCAGCCTGCAGAGAATCAAGATCTTACAGAATCTGGAATAGACAGAGCATAAGAAAGAAGAAGCCACTGTAATTTTGAAAAATAACAAACTTCAATAAAACACCAGACTCCTCGTTGTTGATAGATCCAAATAGATATATTCGGTTGATGACCTAGATCAGAAAACCGACAGAATGAAAAAACAAATTGAACAACAATGCATCTTTAGAATAAACCAAATATACAAATACACAAGGGTAAAGTAGTCATTTTCTCATATTCATATAGAGTGCATTATAATTTAACAAAATTCAGAAAACGTACCTTGTATTGTTTACAGATAGAAAGGCTATGATCATTATTTACTTGTAATTGAAACATATAAATACACAGAGTCAAAGACAAATACATACAAATACATAAATACATATAAATACATACACATATACATAGAAATAACTATAAAAATCTACCAATGCAAAAACACTGACCTTGTAATTAACCGACCTTGTAATCAACTGCAGTAAAATTGATCAGATGTAGGGTAAAAAACAACATCAAGAAGATGAAAATCAGATATCATAAGTAATGGTGGTTGTCCAAATGTGGATATGAAGAAGGGTGATGTCATACCTGTAGGAGTCACCTGACATATCGGTGTAGACGGCGTCGAGAAGATGATCAACAGTGTGACGTTGAGGAAAGCTGATATGGGGGATTCACTTCATCACATCGACAGCTGCCCTCATCTTCTTTTGTTCGTTTGACCACACAACAACACAAGGGAATCGAGAACCCTTGTGCTTCTTTTACGACAGTGTAATTGAAAACAGATAAGGCAATAAAACGGTGGTAATAACCCCCACATAACAAACGCAACAGGTTTTGCAGACCTCTTGCTTTGGCCTTTTTGTTGAATCATGTCGCTTACCTGATGTTATGGAAAATCAACAAATTACATCGATAAACAAATCAAAAAGCAAAATCAGAAGAAACCTAACAAATGACATGAAGTACAGTTGAATAATCATTGAATGTTTCAATAGAAGGAATTAAGGGAATAATCATTGAATGTTTCAATAGAAGGAATTAAGGGCGTCCACAATGCATTAAACTTGTTAGAGTTTAATGGATTGACGCATCATCATTTTACTTGCTATACAACTCTATATTAATTTCCCTACAATGCATTGAACTCAATAGAGTTCAATGGAATATATATTTAATAGTTAAAAGGTTTCCTTTTTCCCATTGAAGAGTTCAATGGTCATTGAACTCCATATCCATTAAATGCCAACATGACATCACAATGGTAGAGTTTAATCCACTGAATGCCAATTAGACATGCCACCTCATTCAACTCTCTCATTGAACTATGCATTGTTGATGCTCTAAGTGGTGATTATGATTGAATATGTATTTAATGGATTATGAGTGATGTTGTATAGATGTTAATGGATGATATGACAATCCATTAAACTCTATAAAGTTCAATGGATTGTGGATGTCGTAATGCCAATAGATATTAGGAGGTCTGCTAATGAGTTTGGCATTTATTTTGCTACGGTGGCAATTTTTATGTTGAGGTGAGATCTATTATATATGGTATCTACTTCCCAATAAGAAAAACGCATTATAGCAGACATCATGAAGAACCATGATTTCTCCCACATCTCTTTGTCTTCGTCCCTAAATTCACACATCTTCGTCCCAAACCAGCCTCCATCACCCTCCCAACACAGAGAAACCCTAGATTGAAACCCTAAACCATTATTGAGTGTTCTTGAAGCTTGTTGGTGACCTTTTGTGCATTTGAAGTTGGAAGAAAAGAAGAAAGCCTAGGAGTTGAAGGGGAAGCTAATAGATCCAGAGGTTTTGCTTCATTCTCAGTTCATTCAAGGTAAAAAGCTTGAACCTTGACCATCTATCTCCTAGATCTTGTTTTGGAGCTATTTTCTACCTTTTCTAAGCTTTTGAGAGGCTATGTTCAGATTTGATTGTATAAGTGGGTTTGTGCTTCAGATCTGGAACCATTGAGGGTTCCCATGGCATAAAGGTGCCAACTTTATGGCCATGGGAAGCCCATGCACCATATAAACCCCATTTTATAGCCTTTTGAGCCAAAAACCCCATGCATGGACATCAAGTTTGAAGCTTTACGTATAAAATGGGCCCTAGGAGGCCAGAACTATGGGTTTGACGCGTTAAGACCCATTATTATCGACTATAGAGTATTGGACAAAGAGGGACGCGGCGAGTCACTTGGGTGACTCGGCGAGTCGGGACGCTTTTTTCCCCCAAAGTGTCTCCTGGAAATGGTTTTGGTTGAGTGGAAGGAACACTCAGCCTGTTAGGGGTTTGTTTTGGACCTGGAAATCATGGGACTCGACGAGTGTATGAACAGACTCGGCGAGTCCAAGGCAATCTCCCAACCCTTGAAGACGGACTCGACGAGTTGTTCATACAACTCGGTGAGTCATAGACTGAACACGTTCGTATGATGGAGATGAACTCGACGAGTTCAAATGGAACTCGACGAGTCGGTTGAAGATGGTCGTGATGCTATGGATGAAGGCGAACTCGTCGAGTTCTTGCTAGAATCGACGAGTAGAGTCGGGGTTGTATCACTTGAAAGGATAGGGACTCGACGAGTTGGTGGACCAACTCGGCGAGTCAAGTTAACTGGATGTTGACTTTGACCAGGGTTTGACCTTGACTTTGACTTGGATTTGGATGACCCTTGTAAGGGTTATGAGTATGCAATAGTAATCGGAAAATGGTTGTTATGTAGGGATTGGGGAGTAGAGACGAGTCGATTCCCGTGCCGAGGACCTTACAGATACTACACGACATCGAGGTGAGTTGCCTTCCAGTAGGAGTGGGTCTACGGCCACAATGCCGGCCCACTAGTAGGAGTTGTTTGTTAGATGATTGTCTTTGTGATAATTATCTGGTGTGTTGTTATCTGATATGCTTTATGTGCTAGGATGCTATGACATATGTGTTAGTAGTGGTAGGGGTGATATAGCCACTAGTTACCGGTTGAAAGATACCGAAGGGGTAGATAGTACCCATGCATGCCTAGCAGTATGATTATGATATGTTATTATGTGGTAGTGGTAGGGGTGAAATAATCCCCGGTTACCGGTTGAAAGATACCGAAGGGGAAGTTAGCTCCCGATTACCGGTTGAAAGATACCTAAGGGGAGGTTAGCTCCCGGTTACCGGTTGAAAGATACCGAAGGGGAGGTTAGTTCCCGGTTACCGGTTGAAAGATACCGAAGGGGAGGAGATTCCCGGTTACCGGTTGAAAGATATTGAAGGGGAGCCCAGCTCCCAGTTATGCCATATAGATACCGGTTGAAAGATACCGATGAATATGCATTATGTGGTATGTGGTATGATGGGGGAACTCACTAAGCTTCGTGCTTACAGTTTTCATTTTTGTTTCAGGTACCTCTTCAACGAAGGGGAAGGAGCCGGCGTGGTAGCGGCACATCACACTCACGCATGATTTCCGCATTGAGTTTTCTGGGATTGTACTCTGATTATTATTATTATTATTATTATTATTATTATTATTATTATTATTATTATTATTATTATTATTATTATCCGATGATATGTTTTTGAGACACGACGTAATGGTTTTATGAATTAATATAATATTAGCAATGTTTGATAAATGATTTTACATGTTACTTAATTAAAAATGAAATTTTTAGCCTTGAAAATTGGGATGTTACAAGTTGGTATCAGAGCCTTAGTTTGAGGGATTCAGATACACTCTCGGGTGTGTCTGAACTCAAACTGAGGACTTGATATGAAATTTTTCAAAAAGAAAATCATTTATGAAAAGAAGTTTGAAAAGAGAAAAAGGAACTTTGAAAAGAACAAGATGTATGATGTGCGCGACCGACCGAGCTCAAGTAAGTTTTCCCCAAGATACCCACACATGTTATGTTATGATTATGAGAACTGCAGGCTAGATTAGGCTAGCGGATCTAGGAAGGATGCCTTATATGCCTACTGTATATGTATGAGAAATGCATGCTAGATTAGGGCTAAGGATCTAGGAAGATGCCTGATATGCATGCTATATGTGTTTTTGAGCTGCAAGATGTTACTGATTAGTTAGTTATATGATAGCTTGGATAGAGTATGATTGGATTGGGTTACTCAATGCCCGAATGTTGTTTCTTTGTGCTTCGGGAGTCCTAGTTATCTTTAGCTAACTAGTAAACGAATACGTTGAGTTACATATTGCGAGGACAAAATAATTCCAGAAGGTTAGGTCTAGCCCTACTGCGCAACTCTTGTTTGAGTCCAACCGTTATGGGGTAGGACCTTTCATTCGAAGAATTATCTGGTCTTAGTAACATGTAATGGTGTTCGCAAGCTAGTTAGGTAAAGGTAGTAGGGGTTCCTTATGCAGCTGATGGCGGAGGGTAGGCCGGAGAGTTACCCTAGGGTAAGCCTAGGATGGGATTGGCAAAGAGAGAAGCAGTAGTAGAAGGGACTTGGTGAAGTCGAAGCAATCCTTGAGGAAAGTACGGATAGATGTGGAAGGTAGTATGGGCCCGTACTACTGAAAGCAGAGGATCCGTACTCGAGTCAAGGAGGGCCGAGATGGAACCAGGAAACTTGTAGAGTGTGTGAAACCTCCCGAGGTTTATGTATGATTCTGACGATTATGTGTTATGTTTCAGAATGGTGATGATTACACGTCATGGAGGGGGAGGTTCAGGATCAGGATCCGGTTCAAGATCGGGTTCGGGGGCAGGTTCCGAGCCAGTGGATGAGGGACTACGTGAGTTCATCGCGTCTGAGATCACAAGAGGTATCCTTGAGTCGACCCCGGTGATTTTCAGGTCGATCAAGGAAGGGATCATTAAGCTGATGGAGGATCGTCTCAGGGCATTCAGGAGCGATATGACACTCGGTCAGTCAGGATCACGCACACTGTCCTTCAAGGACTTCAGGGGCAGTGGTGCGTCGGATTTCCATGGGGATAAGGACCCCATCGTAGCCAAGAGATGGATTGCAGACATTGAGTCTGCACAGCTAACGAGCTTCTGCCCTGAGGGGTCGAAGGTGCAATATGCCGCAGGTTGTTTGAGAGATAGGGCCAGGGATTGGTGGGAGTCGGCTGGTGACTCGTTGGGAGCCTCGGCTATTGAGGCTATGACTTGGTCGGACTTTGTGACCAGGTTCGGGACTGAGTTTGCGCCAGCTGTGGAGCTTCTGCAGTTGGCCATGGATTTCCTTTATATGAGGCAGACGACAGAGACGGTGGCGGAGATTACCGCCAAGTTCCGGGAGAGGGCATTGTTGGTGCCCCAGTATGCGGGAGATGAGGATATGTGCAGGACCCGCTATCACAACATGTTGAGAGCTGATATTCGGGAGCATGTCAGCTTCTCAGCATGTCCGACCCTGGATTCCATGATTGCCAGGGCGAGGGAGAAAGAGATAGACTTAGAGCACATCAGGAAGAGGAAGGCGGAGGAGGGACAGGTTACTGGGGCTTCGGGGAAGAAGCCCAAGGGATTCAACTCTAGGTCGAATGGGCCAGCATGGCCGGGGCCACTGTGGGAAATGTGGCAGGTCACACGAGGGGGTTTGCCGCACTGGGACGGGATCAGGCTGCTATAAGTGCGGCAAGACTGGGCACTTTCGTAGGGATTGTACTGCCCCTGCCCCCACCTTTCATACATCAGACTTGATTTGCTTTCATTGCAATCAGAAGGGCCATAAAAGGGCCAATTGCCCTCAGTTGACAGCAGCAGCGCCAGTGAAGGCGCCAGCTCCAGCGACTCTGCGGATTACTGATGGCCGGCAGGCCATCACAGAGGCTCCAGTGGTGAGGAGCCGAGCCTTCCAGTTGACTACCGAGGAGGCACGCGCCGCACCCGATGTGGTGACGGGTAAGATTTCTTCTCCCTAGCTTTTATTTTATGCCGCTTATGATAATGATGTGCCATATGATATGTCTTGTCTATGATCGTTCCATGTGAACAGTATTCCAGTTCAGGTGTTGTTTGATTCGGGTGCTACCCGATCATTTGTCTCTCTTGCGCTTAGCAATAGGTTCCCTGAGTCTTCAGGCATGTTGGATTGCCTTCTAGAGGTCGAGATTGCAGATGATCGATCAGTGCGAGCTTCAACGGTTTTCAGAGATTGTGTTTAGAGGTTATTCGAGGAGCGCTACCTGGTAGACTTGGTTCCCATTCCGTTGCATGGGAACAAGGTGATTATAGGCATGGATTGGTTGAGCCACAACGGGGCAGTGATCGACTGTGCGCAGTAGTTGGTTCGGATCAGAACCCCGAGTGGGGGAAAGCTGGTGATTCAGGGCGAGAGACCACAACGCGGACCAGCACTGTGTTCAGCAGCAAGGGCTAGGCGCTATCTTCAGCAGGGTTGCGCTGGGTATGTCGCCTATGTTATGGATACCCAGGAGGCGGGTAAGACGACGGTGACAGATGTTCCGGTAGTGCGAGATTACGCGGATGTATTCCCAGAGGAGCTGCCTGGGATACCTCCAGAGCGACAGGTGGAGTTCGGGATCGACCTACTCCCTGGTGCGGCTCCGATAGCCAAGGCGCCATATCGGTTGGCTCCTCCCGAGATGCAGGAGTTGTCTACACAGCTGCAGGAGCTGTTAGGCATGGGATTTATCAGGCCCGAGTAGTTCGCCTTGGGGAGCCCTGATCCTGTTTGTCAAGAAGAAGGACGGGTCGCATCGCATGTGCATAGATTACCGGGAGTTGAACAAGGTAACGGTGAAGAACCGTTGCCCACTCTCGAGGATAGATGACTTGTTCGACCAGCTTCAGGGAGCATCTTGGTTTTCCAAGATTGACTTGCGGTCGGGCTACCATCAGATGAGGGTCAGGGATGAGGATATACAGAAGACTGATTCCCGGACTCGCTATGGTCACTACGAGTTCGTGGTGATGCCCTTCGGGCTCACCAATGTTCCTGCCGCGTTCATGGACCTCATGAACCGCGTGTGCAGACCGATGCTAGATCGGTCTGTGATAGTTTTCATTGATGACATCTTGGTTTACTCCAAGACGCAGGAGCAGCATGAGGAGCATCTGTGAGAGGTTTTGGATACCTTGAGGAGGGAGAGCTTGTATGCCAAGTTCTCCAAGTGCGAGTTCTGGTTGCGCGAGGTGCAGTTTCTTGGGCACCTTGTCAACCAGAACGGGATATTGGTTGACCCGGCCAAGGTGGAGGCCGTGATGAGATGGGAGGTTCCGAAATCTCCATCTGAGATTTGGAGTTTCCTCGGACTGGCAGACTATTATCGAAGATTCATTCAGGACTTCTCCAAAATAGTCGTACCCTTGACCCGACTGACGAAGAAAGCCGTTGTTTTTCGCCCGGGGGCCTGAGCAGCAGAGACGTTGAGACAGAGAATGTGCGAGGCGCCGATCCTCGCCCTGTCCGAGGGCGTGGAGGATTTTGTGGTATATTGTGATGCGTCCATCTCAGGGTTGGGCGCAATATTGATGCAGAGAGGGCACGTTATCGCTTACGCTTCGAGGCAGCTGAAGCCTCACGAAGCGAACTACCCGACGCATGATTTGGAGTTGGGGGCGGTCGTCTTCGCCCTCAAGATTTGGCGACACTACCTCTATGGGGTCCGTTGTACCATCTACACGGACCACAAGAGTTTGAGGTACCTCATGGATCAGCCGAATCTGAACGTGAGGCAACGTCGGTGGTTAGATGTGGTGAAGGATTACGATTGCGAGATCCTTTACCACCCGAGGAAGGCCAATGTCGTGGCTGATGCGCGTAGCCGCAAGGCAGCGCCGATCTCGGACATCTGCATGAGGATGACCGTGGTGACTCCGCTTTTGGAGCAGATCCAAGAGGCCCAGCTGGAGGCCATGAAGGAGGAACATTGGAAGAGCGAGCGTATTGTGGGTCAGGTTTCCTCCTTCGACTACGACAGCCGAGGGTTATTGACCCTACATCGTAGGGTATGGGTTCCCTATCATGGGGGTGTGTACCAGGTTCTGATGGAGGAGGTGCACAAATCTCGATTCTCGATTCATCCCGGGGCGACGAAGATGTACAGGGATCTTCGACCCGATTACTGGTGGCCCTGCATGAAGCGGGATGTGGCCTGGTACGTACAGCGGTGCTTGACCTGTAGGAAGGTTAAGGCCGAGCACCAGAGGCCACACGGTAAGATGCAACCGTTAGACATTCCCATGTGGAAATGGGAAGATATTACTATGGATTTCATCACCAAGCTTCCCAGGATGACACGGGGAGTGGATTCGATTTGGGTCATCGTGGATCGGTTGACCAAGAGTGCCCAATTTATACCGATCCAGGAGAGCATCTCAGCCGAGAAGCTGGCCGATATCTACATTCGAGAGGTAGTAGCTCGGCACGGAGTGCCAGTTTCGGTGATTTCAGACTGAGACGTGCAGTTTACTTCCAGGTTCTGGAAGAAGTTTCACGACGAGTTGGGTACTCGTCTGCACTTCAGCACCGCGT